CTTTTGAGACTTCCACCACAGAAGCTATTCAATCAAAAGGAGAAATTGGATCCCTTGCTCCGTTGAAAACTCCTGACGACAAGAAGGAGGTGAACAGGGGCAGCACGAGCTGGCAAGACTCAGCGCTCTCTTGAATTAAAATACTCCAAATCGAATGGCAAGGGCGATAGGGCCACTCAATGCCAACACTCCACAATAAGCCAAAAAACTCCGAGTCGTGGTGGGACCAAAACTTGGAAATAACTCGTTGCCAATCGTTGACGAGTTCTTCACTCAAACTGAAAAGTATGGGTATGAAAAACCCCAAAGAATAATTCAATTCGAGCGGTGGTAGAGGATGGGCTTGATGGGAGCCCAAAGAACTTGCGAAACGCTGAAAATCGATCCGCGAGTTAATGTGTGGTTTGTCCTTTTTGGTGGTAAGACAAATTCCAAAATGTTGATTGTCCTCGTCTTTGATGGGAGACGAGATCAGCAAAATTCTGAAGGACAATCGCTGCAGTCAGCTGTGTGTGTGTGACTGAGATAATATGAGCTTGATGGATATCAATTCAGGTTAAAAGCATGCAGTGAGAAAAGCGATGATCCATCACTTTTCCATGCAAATCTCTAGAATTATCGCAGAATGCTGCATTCTCTACGCTAAATTAATGGCGTGTAGTGGTTTGTGCACGTGCAAAGCGTGCAACGTACAAGCTACACTTCAACCTGGGAATCCTATAGGTTGAGTCACAAGTCCCGTTCCTGTTAGAATTCTGTCACGCCAAGCTATTGACTGTCTTTCCCAGAAAGACAGTATCTCATCACATTTCAGTCCGCAGCAGCTCATTGATAATGTCAATATCAACTACAAGAGTGACAAGGTTGCTGAACTTGGACAATATGTTCATGCAATTGGGACGGATTCCAGCAATATGTTGGAACCCCAAAGTATCAAAGCGATTTCCATTGAACCTACAAAGGGACAACGTACAGGGCACCCAGTGCTCAACCTGAATACTAAGAAGATGATTTCCCCACCCAAGGTCGTTGTACTACCCGTTACCGATCAAGTAATCCAGCGTGTTGAAGCTTGGGCTGCTGCCAAAGGTGTTACTTCCATGAAGTTCTTTGATAAGAAGAGAGATTTGGAGACATTTCAAGAT